CGACGGTGTCACTAGGGACAGGAGCCACACACACAGGGTGCTCTGTCCCCAGGTGGGGTTCTGGGGACCATGGTGCCGGCGGAAGGCGTCAGAGACGGCGCATGGGGGTCAGCAGCAGGCGAGCTTTGTGCGGGGTGTGGAGGGTCCCTGCGCTGCACGGGCCACGAGGTCACAGCTGCCCGGGCTCTGCGGGGCTGCACCTGCGACGAGGCAGCTTGACCTTGGCCCTCCAGACTCAAGGGCCGCTTGGGACAGCCCGGCTTGTCCGCTCGGCCAGGGCAGGGCTGTCCCAGGAGACCAGGGCGGTCCCACGTTGGGCCACTGGGCAGCGGTGGCCGCCTTCCCGCCTGCACCCGCCCTGGAGGGCACGGTCACCGCCCGAGGACGACAGAGAGCCTCCCTCTGCTTCCCCAGCCAGGGCGTCGGCGCCGAGCTGATGGGGCTGCAGGTTGATTACTGGACGGCGGCCCCGCCCGCAGACAGGAAGAGAGAAGCGGAGAAGAAGGACCTGCCCAGCGCCAAAAACACGCTCAAGTGCACCTTCCGGTCCCTGCAGGTCAGCAGGCTGCCCAGCAGTGGCGAGGCTGCAGCCACGCCCACCATGTCCATGACAGTGGTCACCAAGGAGAAGAACAAGAAGGGTGAGCGGGGGGCCGCCAGCAGGGGTCCCAGCCCCTCCCCCAGGCCCTGAAGGAGCAACAGGACAGCACAGCCCCTTCTCTTCCTAGTGATGTTTTTGCCCAAGAAGACCAAGGACAAGGACGTGGAGTCCAAGAGCCAGTGCATCGAGGGCATCAGCCGCCTCATCTGCACCGCCAAGCACCAGCAGAACATGCTGCGGGGTGAGCGTGGCCGTCGGGCCCTGGGCCGGGCCCCGATGGTTCTGTCTGTGAGACGTGGAGGCAGACCCGTGAAGCTGGGCAGCCTCCTAACGTCAGCACAGGGAAACGCGCACGGGCCGGGCTTTGAACACGCTTCTGCGAGGCCCCTTTAAAAGCTGGAGTCTGAGTCCCAGAAACGGAGCTCGGAGCCGATGGCCTTGGGGGCGGAGGGCCCCTGCCTCCCTGCCTTGATTTTCCCAGTGGAGGGTGTTTCCCCTCCATCTTGCAGACCCCTGCTGGGGCCCCGTGGGGAGGGCCAGCAGCACTCATAGTCAGGGAGAGGTGGCCTCAGCCGGTGGCTCCGAGGGCCGGCAGCAGAGAGAGCTGGCCAGCGGGTCTCTCTTGTCCCCGGGAGCCTGGAGTCCCTGGGGGTGTCAGGCCCCCCCAGCGTGTCCTGGGCCGGGCCCAGGGAGGGACCGGTGTGCCCCTCTGGCCACCGGGCGGGCGGATCAGACGGCCTTGTCCCCGCAGTCCTCATCGACGGCGTGGAGTGGAACGACGTGAAGTTCTTCCAGCTGGCAGCCCAGTGGTCCTCCCACGTCAAGCACTTCCCCATCTGCATCTTTGGACACTCCAAGTCCGCCTTCTAGCCCTGCCCGCCACCCTGCCAGGCCCAAGTCCTGGAGGGCCCAGCTGCTTTTCTGTTAACATTTCAGTTTACTGCAGAGACTGAAAATACAGAGCGAAACCGTCTTAAGCGCGAACTGCTCACAACCCAGAAGCTAACAGTGGCCCCCCTGGGAGCCCTAACTGCTCCGCTTCTTAACCAGACGCTGTGGGGCGGGGGGCGGGTGACCAGGCAGGCCGTGCTGAGCTGCAGCGTCACAGGAAGCATGTGCCGGCCTCGGACCCTCGCCTCCCCCAGCAAGAAGGACGCGCGCCTTTGAGACCTGCCCTTCCTGGAAGCCAGGACTCTTCTGCCCCAGGGAGCTGGCTCCAGTGGGCGGAGCTCCTGCTGGCTGCGTCCTGAGCAAAACACACAGGCCGGTCAGCCCGGCCCGGGGCCCCAGCCGCCAACCAGCCAAGTGACCCCAGCACCACTCACTCGTGGTTCTTAATAAACTCCAGCCTGGGGCAGTGGAGGTTTTACAGTATCAGATATTTTTAATGCTTTTAAATACATGTTACAATGTAGCTGCCAAGCAAGTTCTTGCTCTTCTAAAGCCCCAGCTGTCAGGGGCTCGGCAAAGCCAGCCAGCACCTCCCAGGACCTGTCCCTGGGGCTGTTCTGGAGACACCCCTGTGCTTCGGGGAGCTGTCCCTGCCCCAGACTCGGCGAGCACAGGGCCTCCTCCCACCTCAGCCCTGGCACCACCTGCCGGCTGCAGGGTCTGTGCTCCCCGGCAGCACTATGGTGGCCAGTGACTGCCCAGGCCGGGGGGTGTCCCAGGCGGCCACACAGGGGACTGGGCGCTGTGGGGCCCATGGATGCAGCTTGGGGCAGCACGCAGGGGCCGGGTCGCCCCTCTAGGCCAAGTTCCTCAGAGGTAGGTTGGGTTTGGGTCGCTCCTGGACGGCAGCCCCGCCCTCTGCCTCCCACGCAGCAGGACAGGGGAGTTCTGCCCTGAGCCAGGGTGCCCCAGCCCTGTGCCGCCACACCCCAGGTCTCCACAGGAAGAGTCCACCAGCCTCCGCCCCTGGGTAGCTGAGGCCCTGGGACTCGGTTCCTGCGGCTGAGAGGCGCCCAGGCAGGGAACTGCCAATGCAGGACCGGCTGCAGGCCGTCCCTGTCTTCAAGGACCTGCTTCCCTGACATCCAGCCGCACAGGGGGGTCCCACCCTTGGGGGGTGGGGACTGCCCGCCTTACCTCCTCCTCTGGGGAGCCGCATGGGGCCGGAGGGTTCATGGCCAAGGGCCCTGAGGCTCGGTGGACAGGATGTGGGCGTGACCTTGGGTGCAGCCTGTGCCTCGGGAGCCTGCAGGCAGGACACTGGGCAGAAGCCTCGCCCGCTGCCCCCTCCCCACCAGGGATGGTGCCTCCTCGCTAAGAGACACCGCTTCCTACCACGTGCCTGAGGCCGGACCCTGGCTTGGGGCCCTGCCTGCCCAGGGGAGAACCTGGGGTGAGGGTGTGGACCCCAGCCCAGGCTCAGGCAGCCTGTGCGGCCCCCGGGCCGGCAGGGAGCCTGGAGACCTTGCGCCTTCCACCCGTCCCCCCCACTGGCCTTGGTCGCTGTCCCTCAAGTAAACTGTGCAGCGGTCGCGCTCTGCGGGCAGGAGGTGCAGGCCAAGCGCCCTTGACTCTCGCCCCGCCCCCACGAGCCGTCCCGCCCACTTCCGCGGCTGCGTCCTCGCGTGCGTGATGGGGGCGCCCGGCCCCGGGGCCTGCAGAGCCCGGCGGCCCAGTCCTGCAACTGAGGGCCCCTGGGCCTGGGCGGTCAAGCGGACGCCCGGCCGCACGACCCGAGAGACCGGCGCTGCTCTGCCGGATACGTCGATTTCCGCGTTGGCTCGGCGGGGTGGTCACGTTTCCCCTGCGCACCCCGTGGCGCTGTTCTGAGGATACACGTGAAAGCACTTTGTCCCTCAGAGGAAGGGCGCGCAGGAGCCAAAGCCGCCTGGCAGGGACGTGGCGGCGGGCAGTGTGGGAGCGAGGGATGTGGACCCCGCACAGCGGCCCCTCAGCAGGGGTTCGCAGCCCGTGGGGCGACCCAAGGCAGCCGGCGCTCGGCCGAACCCGCCGGCCGCCAGAGGCAAGGCCAGGCCCACACATTCCTGTTCCGCTGCCGTCCCCTGGGTCGCCATCCCCGCAGGGCTCGAAGGCCAGTGTCCGGAGTCAGTGTCACGGCCACAGCCTCCGGAGGAGAGGGCCTCTGGGCCAGCGCCAAGGGTGTGAGTGGCCGAGGCCGGCCTTGCTGCGCTGCCATCGCCCCCGGCAGGAAGGGCCTGGGCCTTGGCCTGGAGCAGATTCATAATGACAAGACCCTGCCACCGGCTCTGAAGGGCCAGCGGCCTGACCTGCACCTGCTTCTTGACCCCGCCCCAGACCTGCCCAGTCCTCGCGGGCAGGAGAGGGAGATCGTGCCCCGGCGGCGGGGGTGGGGGGAGGGGACTGAGGGCCGACCCGGAGCGGCCCCGCCTGCTCAGCGAGCGTCGTGCCGTTGCTGGGTGTGTGTCTTGCTGGTTTTCTTTTTAATGGAAAACACGACTAATGTAAGTAGACTCTTTGGGGAACAGATTCTAACCTGTCACGCATGTGACCAAACTATTTCACGGAGCTGATGCGACACTAATAAACCTGGGGAGTCTCAACCACAGGCCGCCGGCGCCTGCTGATTCCTGGGCGGCTGCTGCCCCTCCGTCCGCCCGGGGACCCCCCCGGGGAAACTGGCGTCGGCGGGGCCCGGGAGACGCCCCCAGGGCCGGGCCCACAGCGAGCCGACCCCACCAAGCGCTCGGGGCAGGGACCCGGGGAGGCCGAGGTGAACCCCTTCCCCGCGGCCGGGCCCCATGACGGCGGCGCCAGGGCGCAGGCGCACCGCGAGCCGGAAGCGGAAACGGCAGGGCGGGATCGGCAGAAACGGAAGTTCCGCGGGCCGGGCTCGGCCCTCTCAGGCCTCCCAGAACCTCTGTGGGCCCCACCCCGACCCTTTGGCCCTCCCATCAAAGTGCGCCCCGCCCCTCCCGCACCCCGCTGCCCCCTCCTCTCCCCTCCCCGCCCGCACCCTGCTGCCCCCGCCCCGCCCCGCCCCGCGCCCCGCCCCCCCCCGCTGGCCGCTGTAGTGCCGCCCGCTCCCCTCTGTCTAGCGAATCCCGAGCGGCTCCCGTCCACTCCGCGGTGCGGCCCCGACCCCACAGCCAGCAGGTGGGAGGCTGGGCCCGCAGAGGGGGCGCCCCTGCGGGAGGCGGGGCAGGGCCGAGTGCTGTGGCTGCGCCGGCCTGGCGGGCCCTTGTGAAGAAAAGTGGCCGCAGGAGCTGGGGGCCCAGGTCACCCCGGGGGGCCCACGGCGGGGTCTCAGCGGCCTGCGGCCCGCCCAGTGCGGTCTGGGGGGGGCGGGAGCCTGGCAGAGCCTGACCTGCCCCCGTCGGCCAGAGGGACACAGGGAGCCGCGGGAGTACAGGCGGCTTTGGGGACCTGTCCCCGGCGCCCCGAGGCGGACCGCAGGCTGCTGCTGGACATGAATAGCAGGACGCATTTGCTTAAAGACCCGCCCGGGGGTAAGGCGGGACCACAGCCGTCCCACGAGGACAGGCCAGCATCTCCCTCGCCCAGCCCAGCTGAGGCCTGGGGCCAGCCCAGGTCCCAGAGCAGCGGTCAGCAGGCGCTGGAGACTCAGGACTGGGTAAGCTGAAGGGAGCCTGGCCTCGGCCCCCCAGGGCTCCCTGCGGGAACCACAGGCTCTGGAGGTGGGTGCTCAGGTGCACAAGGACTGTCAGGCTGAAAGGTGCCCGAGCACAGCAGGTGCTGGAGTTGGGGGCGCAGAGCAGCGGCCCTCTTCCCAGGAGCCCTGGGTGGACACCCGGGGAGGCGGCAGCCCTCCTGCCTCCCATACGGGGAGCACTGGGGAGGGCCGCACCCCGGCCAGCAGAGCAGGCGGCTCCGAGGGAGGGAGCCCAGCCTGGGGAGCTCTGCCGTCACAGTGGGGACGGGACAGCCTCCTGCCCAGTGGGTCGGAGGGCAGGCAACAGAAGGGCTGGTCTCAGAAAATCGCCCCTGGGGGCTCCGCCTGTGACGGCCCCGGCTGCAGGAGCCTCTGCACCATTCCCTTTGTGTTCCTTCCAGACCCAGGCCCCAAGGGGGCGCCCTCATTCTTGGGGCTCACCGTGGGCACCCATCGCCCACATGGGGCGGACATGTGCTTGCAGAGGCCAAGCTCTGAGGAGACGTCCCCCCGGAGATCCCCAGCCCATGCAGAGGCGGAGAAAGCCTGGCACCTCTGCTTCCTAGTGAGCTGACTGGAGGGCGCAGAGAGGGCAGGAGCCCACAGGGCAGAGAACTGGCCGCAGTGCTGGGCCACGTGGGGGGGCCGCAGAGACAGGGTGCTGCCCGGCCCCCAAACCCCCGTCCACCCACCTTGCTGCTCAGTCTTCCTTGAAACACAAGCGAGTTGAAGGGGACTCAGCCCCTGGAAAAGAGGCGGGGCCCCAGCTGTGCCAGGCAGGGCAGAGTGGGCTGGAGGGACCGCCATCCCTTGGGGACCTGCACCCCCTCCGAGCAGTGGACCCTGCGGCTGAATGAGGGGGTGAGGGGGTGGGAACTGCGGGGGTGGCTGCTCGCCGGTTGGAAGGCCTGCGACCTGCTGGGCCGGAGCAAAGGGCCTGGAGTCCGTCCACATCTGACCAGACCTGGAGAGGGCACAGGTGATGCCAGCGGCCTCTGCCAATCCAAACAGCAGACTCAAGAGAGAAACACACGGAAAAGGTACATTTGACAACAGGAGGAAACTGAACAGGAAATAGGCCGATCTAATTGGAGACAAACTTCAAAACACCTTGAAGCATTACCCAGAGACTGTGGGGCGAGAAGAGACACCGTGTTCTTTCTGGGCTCTTCCCGGTTCAGTGTCATGAAAGGTAAACGTGCCAAAACATTTTCCCCAATATGGTGCTCTGCTCGAATGGAAAGATAAGAATAGATTCAGGCGTAGCAGATGTGAATTCCTATTTCAAAGCTTCAGTTTTGAAAGCAAGAGGGTCCTGCCACATGACACCTGAGCAGCAAACCTAAACAGAAAATCTAGACATTGACCTAAATGCCCACGACCCGTAACATGGGCTGAAGCTGGCCTCTTTACGGGGGCGGGCGCGGGGGGACGTTTTTCTGAAACTGCATTAGGCAACTGCGTAGCTATGCAGAGTAAAGTTGTAGCCTTAGCTCTCAGTCATCAAGATAAACCCCAAGTGTTGATGCCTTGAAAGTCCTGGGAGAAATCCGGTAGCGGGGCGGCCCTTCCAGCCAAGTCTCAAAGTCCAAACCCGCAAAAGAAAAGGGGGCTACATTTATCCCGGTGAAAAACAATACATCTACAGCCCTGAGGTGTGCCATGTTCCTCTCTCACGTGGATGTTTCTCTCCCTCTCTTTCTCCCTCCCCCTCTAAAAAGAAATAAAATCTTTTTTTAAAAGCCATGTCTACAGAGGACAAATATGCACCAAGGGAGCCCCAACCCTTTGTTAGAGAAAGTACAGACTTTTCAACAAATGGTGCTGGGAATACAGGACCTCCACAAGCAAAAGAATGTAGCCGGACTCTCACCCGGCACTATGTGATGCATCGCAGACGGAGATGAGCGAGCTAAGAGAACAGAAGCCCTAGGAGAAGACAGGAGTAAAGCGTCCTGGCGTTGGATTTGGCAATGATTTCTTGAATATGGCGCCCACCACACAGGCGGTGAAACTAAAAACAGACAAATTGGACTTAATCAAACTTAAAAACTTTTAGTCATCACAGGACATCATCAGCACAGTGAAAAGTCTATCCATGGGATGGGGAAAATAATCTGCAAATCACATATTTGATAAGGGATGAATATCCAGAATATATAAAGAATTCCCAAAACTCAACAATTTAAAAATACACCAATTCAAAATTGGACAAAGGACCTGTCTAGACATTTCTCCCAAGATAAATAAATGGTCAAGTATATGAAAAATGGTCAACATCACCCTAGCTGGTGGCTCAGTGGACTGGGGCCGGCCTGTGAACAGAAGGGTGGCAGGTTCGATTCCCAGTCAGGGCACATGCGTGCGTTGCTGGCCAGGTCCTCAGTGGGGGGCGCGCGAGAGGCAACCACACATGGATGCTTCTCTCCCTCTCGCCCCCCCTTCCCCTCTCTAAAAATAAATACATTCAGAAATATTAAAATGGTAAATGATTATGTCTATCACATGAGAAAACATAAAAAGGGAATTATAAAACCAGTCGTCGTTATGACTGTACAGCTGAGCGGAGGCAAACGAACTCCTCGGAGCTCCGCTGCTGGCGCGTCACTGGCCGCGCGGTTGGGCGAGGACGCGGTCGCAGCCCCTCCAGTGGGTCGCGGGCGCGTGAAAGCAGATCCCAGCAGCAGGGGAGCCCGGGGGCGCCTTGACCTCCGTGGCCGATCGCAAGCCCCGGAGGGTCGCGAGAGGGACTGCGCGAGGCGCCCGGGAGCCTTGCCACGTGACGGCACGGCACGGCCCGGCCACGGGCTGGACGCCCGGGGGCAAGTGGGGCCAGCAGGTTGTGCTGAAAACGGAGATGGACGCGAGCGCCTTCAGAGGAGAGCGCAGCCTTTTTCGCCCCACCGCTCGGCGCCCGCGCTCGCAGGGGCGCCGGGGCGAGGTCCAGAGGGACAGAGGGCGCGGACGCAGGGCGAGGAGGAGACTCAGCCCCCAGAACGCACAGGCCTTTCACCGAGAGGGAGCCCCAAGTGGCCTGGAGGACAGTGAAAAGGATTCGGTGCCAGGGAAGTAAATGAGGTCAAGGTGTTCGACCACAACACGAAAAAGCGCGCATCCAAGGCTCGACAGAGGCCCGGGAGCAGAGCCAGCGCCCCCTGCTGGCGCGTGCGCGCGGCGGCGACGCGGGGAACGGCCTGGCCGCCGCGCAGGCGGCGGCGAAGGCAGAGACGGCGGGCGAGCCCGCCCGGTAGGACCCCAGGCGGGGAGGCCTCCGGCCACCAAGGCGGCCCGCGGTCGGGCCAGCACCGGTTCTCGCGTGGCTCCTGGCCGCGCGGAGGCCGCGGGGGCTGGAGGCGTGGCCCGGCGCCCGTCCTGTCCACGCTCAGCTCGTAGGCGCGGGAAGGAAACCTGGGCAGCGAGACCTGTCCATCCGCTTTGTTTCCGGGGGGGAAAATGTGAAGCAAGCACGGCGTTGTTCATTTTGGATGGCGGGTTCCTGAGTTTTTAAATATAGTTTCCTTTGCATTTTCCCATCTGGCTGTTGTTCTCAAATCTAAACCGAACTCACGCCCAAGGCCACGCTGGGCCAGGGCAGGCCCTCCAGGGCGGCCCCGGGGCGGCGGAAGCGGGGGACCAACAGCCTAGGTCGCTCCTCCCAGCAAAGCTCGAGTGCTTCCCAGACACGGTGAAGCTAAAGGGGTTCATTATCACCAAGCCCTGATTCTGTGAAATGCTAAAGGGACTTGTTTAAGAAAAAGAAGATAAAAATGATGAATATTAAAATGGTAATAAATCCACAGCTATCAATAATTGAATCTAAAAAATAAGCTAAGCAAACAAGCAGAAGAGGAACAGAGTCACAGGTGTGGAAACCATTGGGATGGTTATCAGCTGGGAAGGGGTGCGGGGGAGGTGCAGGGATTGAAAAGCGCAGGCGGTTGGTACGGGACAGACAAGGGGATGACAAGAGCAGGGAATGGAGAAGAAAATGCACGACCCCTGGACGTGAACTAAGGGGGGACCGCTGGAGGGAGTGGGGGTACCAGGTGGGGGAGGGCAAAGGGGCGAAATCGGGACAACGGTAATAGCATAATCAATAAAGTGTATTTTAAAAGACTAATAAATAAATAAATAAATAAGCCCCAGCCGGCGCAGCTCAGGGGACGGAGCGCTGGCCTGCGAACCAAAGGGCCGCAGGTTCTATTCCCAGTCGGGGCGCAGGCCTGGGCTGCAGCCGGGGCCCCTGTGAGGGGTGCGTGAGAGGCGGCCACACGCTGATGTTTCTCCCTCTTCCTCCCTCCCTCCCTCCCCCTCTCAAAACAAATGAATAAATTCTTTGAAAAAAACCTAAAAAAATTAAGGAATTAGTCATCCCCTCCAAGGAAGTGTGGACTGTCCAGAGCCACTGCGTGTATGCGAGGGGGGGGCGAAGGGGGAAGGGAGAGCCCGCGCCCTGCGGCACAGACCCCCGGGAGGCTGCCGCACGCACCACCTGCGCCCAGGGACGGACGGCGCATGGAAACGTGGGAAACCGTCTGCCAAGGAGGAAGGGGTCTGGAAATTCATAAAATGCTCTGCATTCACAAAAGGAGGAAGACCACATGAGTGGCTGAACGAATGATGGAAAATAATGCTCATAAGTTCCAGTTTGTTTCCTTCAAAACAACATGCAACAACACCCGCCGAGTCTTACCAAGGTCGGGCGCGAGGGGCCCGGCGCGGACCTCAGCCGGGTGCCGCTCACAGGTTCGGCCGCAGGGACGCAGGGCGTCACCGTGGCGATGGTGCGGCCTGCACTGACGTCGGGGACGCGACCCGAGCTGGGGCCAGCGGAGAGGAGGTGGCGAGGTGGTGCCGCTTGCCACGAACACACGTCCCCCTGGGAAACCCACGGAGGCCAAGCGAAAGAAGTGGCACCCCCAAAAAAGGAGGGAGTGGACATATCATCACCATCCAACACGTAACAGTTTTTCAATACCCTAAAAATAACCAACCAGAAACGTAACGGAGAAAGAAGACCCACTCACATTGGCAACACGTTAGGACGTCCTTTGTGAACCGGTGTGAAGACACTGAGCGACCAGAGCTGGGCCCCGCTCCTGGATGGGAAGGGTCAGTGTTTTCAATCTGCCCGATTCCCCCCCAAATATCTAATTCAGCGCGGTCCCAATTTAAAAAAAACAAACTTTTCACGAATTTTTAAAATTTTATCCTAGGTGTACGACGTGTGTACGGCAGCGTATTATTTATTGCTGCATAACAAATCTTTCCCAAACTTAGAGGCTGAAAACAACAAGTGTGTTCGTCCCCGTTTCTGTAGGTGAGGGATCTGGGAGCTGCTTAGCGGGGAGGCTCTGGCTGGGGCCCCTCATGAGGTTGCAGCCAGGATGCCAGGCAGCTCGGCGAGGCTGCAGGGCCGGCCGCACTCGTGTGCCGGCCGCGGGCGGGGGCCTTGGCTGCTCACCGCGTGGACCTCGCCACGCACTGCCTGTGTCCCCGCCTCACGGTGGCTGGCTGCCCCCAGAGCACGCGACCCGACAGCCAGCAAGGAGGAGGCTGTCCTGTGGCGGCCGTGGGGTCATGACCATCGGCTCCACAGCACCTCGCTCAGCGTGGGACGAAGCCCAGGGCGTGGATGTGGGGGCAAGACTCCGCGCAGGCCTTCTTGGGGGCTGACACAGCCCCCGGTCAGATGCTAGTCTCGGGCCCGCCCACTCCAAGCAGGAGAAATAAAAGACTCCAACGCTAGAACCATGGGAGCAGCGTTGCAGGGCCCAGGAATGAAGTGGGAGCCTTAAACGCAAAGGGGGGACCCTTCGAAGAGCGATGGTGACACCCACCTTGAGAGCTCAGAAGCCTGACGGCGAAGCACGAGGGGGCATGTGCTGAGTGTGCCCAGCTCCCTGGTGTCCTGTGCCTGGCGGGAATCTCTTTCAAGAGGGAAAATAAATAAAACAGCAAGTGGGAGAAAAAATTTGCCCCCAGCAGACCCTCGCCCCAATTCTGAGAATAGACCTCACCCCCGGGAAAGTGAGCTCAGAGAGAATGAGGGGAACAAAGAAGGCAGCGTGGGGTGGCCGGACCCCGACCAGCTCACGCATGGGCGGGCCTGCGCAGCCGAACGCGCTCGCTCACAACAGCACAGGTTCTGGCGTGCGTCTGCGAGCGGGCCGTGTCCGAAATCCCTCGCGCTGGCTGAGAAGACAATGGGGACGTTTGTCGCCTTCAGACTTCGATGGGTTTGGAAACGCACTTCGATGACACCGAAAGCCCAGAGAGAGAGACCCTTCTGAGCAAGGGGAGGGTACAGTGAGGCGGAGAGGACGGCGGTCTGCCCAGAAGGAAGAAGAGGGGGCAGCCCCGGCGGGGCGGCTCAGGGGGCGGGGCGGCTCAGGGGGCGGGGCGCCGGCCTGCGCACCAAAGCGCCGCCGGTTCAGTTCCCAGGCAGGGCCCAGGCCTGGGCGGCGGGCTGGGTCCCCAGCAGGGGGCGCATGAGGGGCAGCCACGCGTGGGTGTTTCTCTCCCTTTTTCTCTCTCTCTTCCCCTCTGTCAAAAAATAAATTAAAAAAAAGAGAGAAGAAAAGAAGGACAGAGAGAAAGACTGTAAGACAAGCAGGACTAAGCCCAAGATTCCACTGTGGCGTAAGTACAACGTCGGTGCATTCAGTACCTGGGCCAAGCGCCCAGGCAGACGGAGGCAGCCATCCTCGGTGGGCTGGAAGACGCCGTCCTCGCCCGGCAGGGGGCGTGACAGGATGTGGCACTCTGACCCGGCAGGGGAGAGGCGTCAGGTCGCCCGCACCCTGCTCTGCTGCCGAGCTCTGCCGTCTCCCCCGGGGCCTGGAGTTCGAGCGGCCGGGTGCCCTGTCTTGTCACAGTTCAGCAGCATCTTCGCATTTTGCCCTGAGAAGGGCCTTCAGAGCTTTTACATCTTGCAAATCTGAGCTTTGGGCCCCATTAACCACTAACTACCCCTCCCGCTCCCCGGACCCGGGGCCCACCGTGCGCCGTCTGTCTCTACGGACCCGACTCCCGCAGGCCCTCCTAACCCTGGAACCAACAGGGTCTGTCTGCGTCTGGCACTGTGTCCTCAAGGTCCGTTCCCTTCATAGCCGGTACCAGAATGTCCGTCCTCTCTAAGGCTGGATCGTGTTCCCTTGTGTGGAGGGGCCACGCTGGGCCGTCCACCCTGCTCACGGTCGCTGGGCTGCGAATGGTCTCCCTGCCCCCTGCTTCCAGTCCCCTGGGTGGGTACCCGGCAGCAGGACTGCCAGACGGCAGGGTCACTGCTTTTAACTCTTCGAGGAATGGGGACCCCCAGCTTGTCTCAAGCCTTCATTTTCAACGTGGCCCCCTCACGGCGCCACAAGGACTGCCTGCCTGTCTTCCCCGGGAGCCAGCAGGAAGCTCGGGCTCTGGCCTCTCCAGGCTGTGGCAGCCGTTCCCGTGATCTGAGGGCTCCCGCGGTGTTGTTTCTCCCTGGTCCCACCAGCCGGCCCGCCAAGACCTCGGCTGGAGGTCTCCCCGTCTGGGCGCCCAGCAGCCGTGCAGGGCAGGTGCGGGCGTCGGGGCACGCAGCCGCGGCGCGAAGCTGCGAGGCCTTGTCGGCCGCCCTGGGAACCGGACTGGATCCTGCGAGCTCAGCAGCCCCCGCGGAGGACGCAGGGAGAGGGTCGTCCGGGGCAGGGCCCCTGTGCATGGCCGGCGCGGACCGCTGCCCTGTCCCCGCAGGTGTGCGAGCCCCCGGGGAGCAGGCGCCCAGGCCGCCACTGGAGCCTCAGCATCGACGAGCGGCGGCAGCGGGCCGCGCGGGGTGCCGCCGGGGCCTCCGCCCACTGCCCGGTGCGCGGATAGGGCAAGGGGCGGTGGGGATGGGGGGCGCGGGGCGCCCCGCCCCACGCTGCCGCCTGACCCTGCGGCCTCTCGCAGGACCTCCTGCAGGTCGTGGCCCAGCTGGTGTCCGAGGATGTGGACAGGGACGTGCTCATCCCCCACCGGCTGAGGCCCGCGGAGGCCGCCCGCGCGCCCTCCTGGTGCACCGCGACTCCAGCCACCCAGGCCTCTAGGCGGCCGCCCTCCTAAGAGCCTGCTCAGCCCAGGGTCTGTTTTGGGCACCTTTGCGGGGGGTCCCGGGGAGGCCGCCAGTGGGATCAAGGCTGACGTGGACCCTCCTCACAGACCCCCGCCCCCGGGGTGGGACTCTGTCCTGCCTCCCTGCTGCGCTCAGGACGCCTTTGGAGAGCACACAGCGCGGCGCTCCCATGCTCCCCGCCCCGCCCCCGGCCCCCTGAAATTAAACGTGTTCCAGGCCTGTGCATTTCTCAGGACCACTGGGGCGGGTGCAGAGCTACAGACATGGCGCGCTGGTGGCTGGGGCTGGGGGAGGTGTTCTAAGGGGTGGGGGGAGGCGAGGCAGGCTTTGGAGGACATCCCGCCCCCTCCCCAGACCCCTGACAATGAAAGGTGGGGGGCTGTCAAGGCCCAGAGCCGGCTCCTGGCCCGGCCCCAGGCTGGTGGGAAGACGCCCCTCCCCCGCCCCGCAGTGTCAGCAGGTGACCCAGGACACAAGTGCTGTGGGCTTCTACTGCTGAGTGGCTTTGAAGGGCTCCGTGTTAGTCACTCGGGACCCAGGGCTTCCCTGGCTTCCCGGGCCGCCCTCCTGGTCTCGTGTGGCTGTCTCGTGAGGTGGGGGCGGCCGGCCCTCTGTCCTCCATGTGGTCTCGGGGCCTCTCTGCACAAGGTGTCCCCTACCAGGAGCGGGCTGTCGGGGGGCCCCAGCACCCCCCACCGCAGAGGCCCAAGCTGGGGATCCCCAGGGGGGGATCCTTGGTCACCAGGCCGCAGCACCAGCCCAACCCGTGGGGAAGGAGCGCCACCTGCTGGCGGGGGCTGGCCTGAAGCCTGCGCCCCCTCCAGCAGAGCGTGGTGCTCAGGGCCGGTGCCTGGCAATGGCTCTGCTGTCACCCTGGGTGCTGCTGCACTAACAGGTCACCACAGACCCCGCGTCTTAGAGTCGTTAACTGTAAGTTACGTACAAGCCCCAAACCGGCCTCCGCTGGCTCTGGCCAGGGGGCGAGCAGGCCCGGCTCCTCTCGGGGGCTGCAGGGCACGATGCCCCCATCCGGCCGTCCCAGCCCACGTAGGCTGCCCGCGCCCCTGGGCCGGCGGCCCGTCCTCTGTCTCCCCGGACAGCAGCGCAGCGCCCCTGACCTCCTTCCATCGTCCCCGCCCTCTCTCCTGCCTCCTCTTCCTTCTAGGGGCCGTGGGGGCCCCCCGGGACGCCACGTTAGGGCTCGCGAGCCAGCAACCCTCACCCCCACGTGCCACGTGAGCCGGCGCTGTCGCAGGCTTTGGGGAGGGGAGCCGTGCCTTCTGCAGGGGTTCCGGGCCTCGGGCGGCTGGAGGCCTTGCGTGCTGCTCCGCGTCCCAGAGCACAGGACGCCCCCCGCAGCCGAGAGTGACCAGGCCCCAGATGCCGACAGTGCCTCTGCCGGGAGCCCTGGGAGAGAGGTGGGTCTAAGGCCCGGGAGCCTGGGTGAGGGGCGGGTCCACGGGCGGACGGGCTGAGCAGCACCTGCCTGGCTAGGACGTCACCCCCGGCCACCACTGGCAGCGGACACGGCCTCGCTATCGCCACACGCCCCTTCTCCACTGCCCCTTCGCTCTCGCTTCCCCGCCAGGCAGGGCTCTCCCAGCTCCGGGGGCTCAAGGCGCCTCCCAGGGCCCTGGGCTGCGGCCATTGCAGCGCTGTGGTGGCAGAGAGGCCGGCCTCCCGGACGCTGGCTCCCGGGCTGGCCACGTGGTCCCCCTCGTGCCCTGACACCTGTCTGTGCCCGTGGGTCAGACACCCGGGCGGAAAGGGGAGCCCCTCGGCCCAGCCCCAGGAACAGCCCGTGCCCCTCGGCGCCCCTGCTAAGAAAAATGACTTCTTTGGCTTTGCAAGAACGCTCACTCTCCACAATCAACAAGAACGTTTAAAAATGGTGGCCCACCGAGACAGCCGCTGTTGACGTGCGGTGAGGGTCCCCTGGGTGCGTCTGAAGGCCGGGGCGGGGGGACCCGCGGGGACACAGCACGCGCAAGGCCGCTCCTTCCGAGTCCGAGCTGACCTCGGGGGAGACGGCATTGCCGGGACGAGGCGAGCGCTCCTGTGCCCCACGTCAAGAGCCTCCCGTCAAGAGCCTCCCGGGAGCACCTGCAGAAGCTCCACGACCACGGACGGGGCGCCCGCGGCTGGAGAGGGCGCTGGCTGCCCGGCCTCGGGGGCGGGGGCGGGGGGCTCGCTGTCCTGCTTCCCCTGCGCCCCGTGCAGTCGCAGCAGCAGAGGTCTGCTGTCGTCTCCTTCCCTCCTGGGCCTCTGGGTCCCCGTGCCCCAGAAGCCTGGGCACCAGCTCAGCTCCGTGCTCGGCCCCAGGGCCTGCGGGGGCCACCTCCTCAGAGGCTGCACTCAGGGTTGGCTTTTACGTTTTTAAAGAACTTCATTTCCCAGTAGGTTCTACCTTCTGGGGGCCTTTCTGCTCCCCAGGATACCTGGCTGGGACGGTTCTCGGGCTCCGCTTCCGGGTTCTGGGGGCCAGGCCAGCCTGCCTTGGGTCCTTGCTCTCGGTGTGCTCCTTCTGAAAGCCCCTGCACCTTTGTCCTTGGGGAGGCAGGTCTCACTGGCCGCCTCGCGGCCCTTGCTGCGTGGGCTCCCGTGGCCCCGAGAACTCTCCCTGCAGCATGTCTGAGCCCTTCTCTGAGCCTCTCCCGGGGCTCCAGGCGCCCCGACTCTGGGCCTTCTCCTCCAGCTCCGTGGCTCCCCGCCCCCCGCCCCCCGCCGGCGCACGGCAGATCCTTCTGCACCCGCGCCCTCCAGTGGCAAAGCCAGTGTCCGCGGGCCTGAGGCCCTGCATGGGGACGTGGCCACCGGGCCTCCTCGCCCAGCCTTCGCTCCTCTGGGCCTCCTTCCCAGTGTCTTGACCCCACCAGACGGTGCTGCCACCAGGATGGGCCACCGTCACTGTGCAAGAGCACAGAAGGTCATCCAGTCCTCTGCCCTGCGGCCCCTCCTCCCAGCTGGCCTGCAGGCCCCCAGGCCAGGCGGCCCCCTGGCCGCAGCCCCGGCACCTAAGCAGTGTGCCCTGAGGGCAGGGCTGAGGCAACGACAGCAGCCTACAGCTTTGTCTTGTCCTGAAATGACCGCCAGCCTTCCCTGCATGGCCTGCCTCCTGCCCCTCGTGTTCCAGGCTTGCCCTGGTGGCAGTGGCCCTCATCTTGCGCTCCCCATTTGGCGTGGGCCTGACGGAGCCCCCGCCTCCCAGCTCCTGCTCCCAGCAGCACATCCCCTGCGGGGCTGCCCCGGGCGCCTTGCTGTCCTGCTGCGCTTGAATCCTGGGGGTGGTGGGGCCTTCCGGGTCGCCCCTGTTCTGACCGGAGCCTGTTCGCTCCGCTGCTGAGTGGGCGAGCCCGTCTCTTCGGCAGCGCACCCGCGGTGTCGGCTGGGCTCCGAGCCGGGCGCAGGCCAGGGCTGCAGGCAGCCCACCCGTGGTCTGCAGAGGGGCCACGTGGCACCCGCGGGAGGCGCTGGGCTCTGCGGCCTCTCCCGGGACTTTACGAAGTGTCACCTTGCTTTGTGGGGGGCGCATCTCCTCTCTCACAGGGAGGCCTGGGGCTCTGGTGGCTTCCCTCAGACCCTGGACCCTGAGGGCCGGCCTTGACCGCCTGCCACCTGGAGGGAGGGAGCCGGTGGGCTTCTCTGCGCAGCTGGTCTCGGGTGCCTGTCCTGCGGGGGCTGGGGGGGGCGGGGCGCGGGGCGGGCGCCCAGCAGCCGCCTGGGCAGCTTTGGGGAGTCCTGACCTCGGGGCAGCTCCCTCGCTGTTGGTACCGGCTTTAGGCTGCCCGCTTGCTTCCCACGGAGAGCAGCACGAGGGAGGCCAGGCCCGCGGGAGGGGATGCCACCCCGCTTCGGAACCTCGCCAGTCCCTAGGCTCTTGCCACCCCCCCCCACCCCCGCACAACCCGGTCCCACCACTCGCGCCCCCACGGCCGCCCCGCCCACTCCTGGCTCCCCGCAGCCCAGCTTGGGCCCCTCCCCGCCTCGGCCGGGCCTCCCGAGGGCTCCGCTCCCGAGGGCCACTGCACGCCCGCCGTTCCCTCCCGCAGGCGTCGCCCCCTCCTCCAGCCCCACCTGAGGTGGCAGGGCGGCAACCCGGGAGCCCCCACCCCGTCCCCGCGCTCCCCGGCAGCGCCCTTTGTCCTGTGTTCCCGCGGCGGCTGGGACGCCGGCCCGCGGTCTCGAGCGCTCCCCTCGCGCCTCGGGACCTTGGTCGTGGCGGCTCCACGTGGACTGGACTCTCCTAGGACCTGGGGCCACGGGCCGCTCCCTGGGACGCCACGTTTGACGGGGCGGGAGAGAGACGCAGGTGCCTCGGCACACGGGCGCCTCCGCCGTCCCCCGCGCACGGCGACCCTGTCATCCCGCCCCCGGCTCTGGGTGCCCGGGCCCGCTGGGCCCCCGTCTCATCGGTCCTTCCGGAGGGCGGCCCAGGCGCCGCCGCCCGTTCCCCGGGCCACCGCCGGGGAGGCCGCCCGCTGGGAGGTGGGAGGGGGCGGCCCCGCGGCGGGGCGGCCTGGGACGGAGCTGCAGGCGGAGAGGCGCCCCCGGAGCGGCTGGTGCTGCGGGAGGCCGGAGGAGGGCGGGGGCCGGGGGCGGCGCGGAGGGCGCCGGGGTACGGCGGGGGCTGCCGGGAGGCCCCGGGGACGGCAGGGAGCCCCCCGGGAGCCCCGGGGCGTGCGGCAGGGCGGAGATCCAGCGGGCAGGGCGCGGGAGGCCCGCGGGGAAGGGGCGGGACCGGCCCGCCGGCGGGGGGGGGAGGGGGCGAGCGGCGGCGGCAACGGCGGCGCAGAAGCCCCTCCCCCGCCGGCGCCGCTCCTCCTCTTCCTCTCCCGCCCGCCCGCGGCCTCGGTCCCTGCGCGGCCTCGGCGGCGGCGGGGGAGGCTGCGGCCCCTTTAAACCGCCCGCCTGCCGCGCCCGCGCCCCCGCCCGCGCCCGCGCCTCCATTTTCCAGGCCGCCCGCCGCCCGCGCCCGCGGCCCGCCGCCCGCCGCCGCCGGACATGGCCGCCAACATGTACAGGGTCGGAGGTAAGGCCGCGCCCGCCGGCCCCGGGCCCCGCCGCCCGCGTCCCGGCCCTGCCTCGGCCCCCCCGCCTTGCCCCCCCACCCCCGCCCCGGGCCGCGCTCCCGAGCCATCCGGCCCGCCGTCCCCGCCGCGCCCGCCGGCCCGCGCCGCCCCTCCCCCACCGCCCGCGCGGCTCCCCCGCCGCCCCTCCCCCACCCGGGCCCGCCGCCCCCGCCCCGACCCCCGCGTCCGGTGCGGGGCTGGGGCGGGGAGCAGCGCTCTGCCCACCTGTTGGGGCGCCTGCGTGGCCCGGGGGCCTGGGAGGCACCGCAGCCGGAGCCGAGGCCGGAGCATCCTTTGGGCCTGGCCGCGCGCGAGGGCCTGGGCCTGGGCCGGACCGGGCCGAGCTCCCTCCGTCAGCGGGAGCACGTGGCCACGCGGACTGCTGGCGGCCCCCCGGGAGCGGGAGACTTGGGGCTGGGGTCCCCACCCCGGCCGGCGGGGCTGGCGGCGTGCCTGGGCCTGAGGGCCCTCACCGTGGGAGCCCGGCCGGGCCCGCCGCCTCCCCGCAGCCCGGGGCTCCCGGGACTCGGAGGTGCCGCTGGCGCGTGCTGGGGGCTTCCACGGGGAGCCCCTCCGGGTCCTGGGCCACAGGCTCCGAAGGCACCCCAAACTTTCACTGCTTCCGGGTGCCCCGGCCCAGCGGGGAGGTGCTTTGCTGAGGTTCGGGAGAGGCCTGCAGCCTCCTGCCCTCGGCGCCGCGTGCAGGGGTGCTGGGCCCCCTGGGGCATGGCGTCCCCCGGTCCCGGCTTCAGGCCTTGCTCCACTTTGTGCGCTGCAGGCTCTGGGCCGCTGGCCGCTGGGCTCCCGGGGTTCGGAGCAGGTCCTCCCTGGCTGCTCCGCAGGAAGAAGGGGCGCCCCCGCTCCCCTCCCGTGCCGGGGTTGCCCGCTGTGGCGGAGTGTGTCAGGTGGCCACTGGCGCCAGCCGCGCCCCTAGTCACCTCTTCCCTGGTCTGCCCGCACTAGCCGCCGACCCGGGGGGTCAGGGCCAGCCCCCTGCCAGCCGGGCCAGCCCTGTGATTAGGCCCCATCTGTGCGCTGGGTCAGTGTGGCACCTGCTGGCTGTCGCCTCCCCCCGACCCAGCCTTCTCTGGCTCAGAGGTGGCAGTGGAATGGGGGCCTGCACCCCACTTAGTAGCGGGCCCGTGGTGGACACACGGGGGGAGCAGGCCTGTTTCCCCCCTTGAGGGGAGGCAGAAGTGTCCTCCTCAACACGTCTCAGGGAGGCCCCTTCACAGCCACCTGGTGACCCTGCTGCCCGGGCCACCAGGGAGTGTGACCTGAGCCCCTCAGCCTCAGCGCCTGCCCCCCGCCCCCCGCCCCGCTGCTGTCCCTCGGGCCCCTCCCTGGCCTGCAGCCACCGCTCTGGGTGCCGTGCCCCCGAGCACCCCTGGGACCGCCTTTGTGCAGCGCGGACCCGGCCGGGTCTGAGACCGTGGCTCCTGCCTGCAACCCCCGGGACACCGGCCAGAAGCTCCTCTCGCAGGTGGTCTCACCCCTGCACCCCCAGGCTGCGGGAACGGGCTCATCTTGGGAGGGGCAGGGTGGGGGGCCGAGGCTGCTGCTGGACCTCTCTCCCCGCCACTGCGTGGGGCGGGCTCCAGCGGGTCGCCCCCCTGGTCCCCTGGCCTCCGGGCCTGTCTGCCTGCCCTCCCAGACCTCCCTGGGCCTTGGCTTCTCCTGGTGTGGACCAGGGTCTCCGTCTTGAGGTGGCTCTTTCTGGGAGGCCTGGCTGGCCCCTCGTCTGCAGGCCCCTCCTCTGAGGGTGTCCTGGAGTCCCGTCCTTGGCTCGAGGGGTGCTCTGCAGGAGTGACCTCGGGCTCCCCTGGAGCTCCCTGGGGTCCCTGCGAAAGGAGCTGCTTTCGCCTGGTTTCCGGGCACCCCTAGGCAATGCCTCGGGGTCTTGGCCGGCCTGGTGGGCGCAGGGGCGTCGGAGGTGCAGCCTGCCTGGAGACCGGTCCCTCTGTCCCTGAGCGGATCGAGGCCTGGGGGGCACCGCAGGGACCCCTCCATTGTCTGCACTTGGGACCCTAAGGACAGCCTTTTCCAAAGATGCCAGGTCCTGCAAGGAAAGGGGGGGTACCGGCTTAATCGGAGCTTCAGACAGACTGTCGTGGCAGAAGGACGTCCCAGGTGACGTCCAGGACACCCTGAGGCTGGAGCGACCCAGCAGACGCGAAGCTGCCGGGGGGCTGCCGGGTGGGGGGCGAGGCGTGGCTGCAGCCCTGTGCCTGCTGCCCAGCTGGGGGGCAGGGCCGAGTCCTCCCCCGGGCACTGACCTGGCTGTGGAGGGAAGCCTCCTGTCCGCGGCAGCCGCCAGCGTGGGGGCCGGGCCCTGGATGCGGAGGCGGCCCTGCCCCCCTGGGGCCTCCAGGTCCCCGAGGGGCTGCGGCCGCCTCCCTCGGGGGTCTCTTTTCTCCTCCCTGGCGAGAAGGAAATTGTTCTTTTGAACGGTTTGCTCCTTTGAAGCCCTGCTGTGGGGGGAGCTGGGGCGGGTCCCTTGCGGCAACCCTGCCCGCACTCCCGTGACAGCCCCGGCTCCCTGCCCGGCGGGCGAGGTAAGGTGTTTGCCCGTGGGAGTTGCGCGGCACCCTCGGGGTCCAGGCACCCCTGCATGTCCACACGTGCCGGGGGCAGGCAGGCGCCCCAGGGTGGGGGTGACCCCCCACTGCGTCCGGCTTAGGTGGGGTGCACACTCAGGTTTGGGTGCCTGGGAGGGACCTCCTGAGGCTCTGCCCAGGGCCGCTGTTGCCTGGACCCTGGTGTCCGCCGGCTGCCCATCTGCCTGCAGGGCAGCAGCGGCCCACGTCCGGTGGCCCTGGGGCGGCCGCCCGGGGCCCGTGCACGGACCGGCTGGGGCGCTGCCCTGTCGTCACAGCTGCTGGGGGCGCCCAGGCCAGCGCGCTGCGCGGGGTGGGTGTGGCCCTCGGGGAGGGCCGGGTGGGCGGCTGCGGGGGCCGGGCTCCCCTGGTGGCCTCAGGACGCCACCGGCTTGCCCCGCAGTCGCCAGGCGCTCCTGCAGCCCCAGGTGTCCTGGGCCAGTGGAGCTTTGCTCCTCCTCGTCGGACTGGCCCCTGCGGCCGTCTCGGCTCCGTGGGCCCTCCCGCCCCACCCAGGAAGTGATCCTCCTAAAGGAGCTCGGCTCCCCTGCTCAGAGCTGCTCAGCAGCTTCCAAGTGGGGGAGGTCAAGTCCGCCGCCCCTGAGGGTG